AGTCTTGTGTAGTACGCGGGTCGTCCTTCCAGTCGAAAACACCATCCCAGATCAATGCAGCATCGGTTGGCAGCAAAAATCCTGGGCAACCAGTCACGATAGTGAGGCGCAAAGCATCACGTGCATCACTTTCATGATCTTCATCTAAAGTTGTGGCGTACTGGTGGAAAGATGATTTGCAGTCATCAAGTCCCCAGGGAAGACTGAGGTCTTGCCAACGAGACCACGTATCCAACGACCATGTATCAGAGTGCATAACATTAGAGGAAGTATAGTTCCGTATACTTTCATCACATGCTACGTGATGCAAGGCTCTTCCGCACGCAAGGGCTCTTCGGCGTGCCGAAAAGGTCCGGACTCCAGCAGCAAGGCACGCTTTGAATGTGCTCAGCAAGCGCGAGCATATAGTTTGCATGTGCAGTTCGGGAAGTAATTCGGGGGTCCATTGGACGGAAGGCACCAGCCAAGCGACCGAACTGATCACTTCTGGATCTGTGAAGGATTCGAATATCCACTTCATAGACGGTACATCGGAGAGCGGCTCTTCGAGCTCTCCGGGATCATGCTGTGATGACACTTCGCCGTTTCTATGCATACGCCAGTCTTTGATGTACGTGTATGCGCGCCTGTAGAACATGCGGATGACTGCTGAAATAGGAGTTTGGAAAGGACACTGTGAAGATTTTAAGGAGACGACGATGATAAACCAGTAAAAAAACACGCCGAACGCCATCGACACGACGACAGCGATGGCTAATTTTCCCTGCCGAGACCATACGAAGGCTGAGATGGCAACCCCAAATAAAAGGAGCGAGATTTGCAGTAAAACGGGAAACGATTGCAGCATAGCATGAAACTGCCATGCTTCCAATCCATCTAACTTGTGCTGTCTGTGCTTTCCGCGTTCTTCGAGGGAACCACGAATATTGTTCGATTTATAATGGCTGAGCCACTGCTTGCCGAGTACAGCTCCGAAAGCAGCCAGAAGGCTGAACGACAATGCAACATATGCCAAACCTTGAAACCAAGTGCCGTTGGGCGACTTGGCGTCTGATTCGGTGGAAGATGAGACGGTAATATTTGGGGAGGTATTTTGAATGAAGATAGTGGTCGCGGAATCGGGTTGCATGGCAATGATAAAAGCTGTATTGATAGCAGAGAAGAGACCAGACTACGATGTTCTCTCAGTCAGATGAGCGCATCAAAGAATTTGATAGCTTACGAATATGAGCACGATGTCCATATCGCTATTGTTCCGCTCTAAGAACTCATCATCGTGCTCTTTGGCAACTTTGTCGTAAGTGACCCAGAACCTGCTCCGTACGTCCTTGTCTCCTTTTTGCGCGATACTTGAGTCCTGTAGCGTCTCAAGAATTTGCCGCAAAAGGTCCTGCGTTCTAATGTTGGCAATTAGTTAGCCATTGATTATCCATGTTAATCGCATGATGTACTCATTGGGAGATGTGCTTTGTTGTTGATATTCTTCGGATAGTACACTTTGTCGTTGAGATTCTTGAGACAGGTGACGTGTTGATAGAGGAGGAGGTCGCGGAATGTCCCTCCGATTACTAGTAGATGAGCCATTAGAATACGGCTTTTGGGTCAAAAAACCTCACTCACAGATTGTTCCTGTTATCAACCATTAGTACTAGCAAATTATGTCCTTTGTCGCTGTAACGGTTGAGCAAAATACTACTGACAATTTGATGCCGAGGCCGTCACCGAAGCAGATTGCAACACATATACTTATATATGGGTAGAGCTTGCTGAGGACCTGTGCTAACCCACGGCGCGCGCTAGGGGCGGTAGATTTCATAGGCCGCAGTGACAGGTGAAGCATTTGATATGATAGTTCCTAGCCTTATTTGCTACGATTGAACGCATTCCCCATACCCTGTGATACTCCCCACACGGGAGACTAACTAAAGTGACAGGGAGCGCCCACTGCCATCAGAAAAGATCTTTATTGGAAGGATCAGAGGCCATTCTTCGTCCCAAAGTTGTGGTTAGAGGAGACTAAGCAGCGCCAAAATGATAACGAACCTAATAATATTATGATTGTACCCTGAGTTCTTGGCGTGTGATACTAAATACGCCTCACTTGAGACGCTCAGTGGCCATGGCACGAAGGCAGTCGTCCATGAAAATGGTAGCAGGTGCTGGTACACATTGCATGAAATCAAGTAAGGTGAGTCAACGCCGGTGACGGACAGATGTATGTGGCTATTTGTCATCGTTGTACATAAGTTACAGCGAGCAAATGCTGCAAATCAACCATTTCCGATTTCCAATAGATGCCTGTTCTTGCATGGGAAGCGGTACAACCAGCTGGAACCAGATAGCAAAGGGTTAACTTATACGAAGCGCCGGTCTCAGACGGTACCCTTCAATGGGAAGAACATCGGTGCCATCCATCCTGTTGTCTCGCTTGTTAGTACACTGGTGCGTTTATCCCTGATGCCTCCTTCTTTTACCTCGTCTTGAATTTCAATGGCCCTTCTGCTGGCTGATCGGAGGTGGCCTTCATGGCTTCTGCCAACTTGATAATCTCATATCACTGTGGAAACCAGGACGGTCAATCAAACTCCTATTTTCTGTACAGCGAACAAAATGCAGCTATCTTGAAAGATGATTATGTTGGTTCGAATGAGAAAATGTGGAGCCAAGGATACCAAGAATCGGAGCAATCATGATTGTTACTAGACAGAAGGCATCAAGTCAGAATGAAAGTATGCGCAATATCCAGAATCTTCAGCCTCATGCAGGGTAGATGCCAAAGGTGAGGGAGACCTCGTAGTTGTCGTATGTCATCTCAGAGAGTTTTTTGTTCTTCTAGGGTTGTCAACTTACGAATGCCACTCTGGGCGTGATCATCGGGCAAGCAGGTCCTATTCCGCCATGAGCAAGACCACCACGAAGTTGAATTCCACATTCACCACCAGCACAAGTCGGAGTGCCCGCGAACCTGCCGGCCTTGCTGGCACCAAGGGTGAAGCCCAGATAGTCACCATTATGGGTGTTATCAATTCATGCTGATCTTGGAGGCAGAAGGACTCGTCCATCTCAACTTTCTTTCCATGGGAGCAATCTTTCGTTGATTTGCATACTTTGAAGGGGATATCGTCGAAGAAGCTGCTTTTTGACATACATAGTGTTTTCCCGTACGGTGCCCAGTTGTTGGCCATCGGGGAAGGAAAGGATATAGCATTTGATGCCTAGGTATTTATCCACAGGCCGGATAATCCGTGCATGCACATGAGGGTTCGACACTACCATGACCATTGCCACACGTCTGAGGCAATTGGACCGTCTTGTGAGTTCCAATTGGGCAGATGCCGTTTGTCATTTAGATGCATATGCCATCGTGCATAAACGTTCCAGGTGGGCAGCGCGGAGGAGGGGAAGTAATAATGATACACTGGCCATCGTTCAAGTTTGTCCCAACCGGACAGATTGGAACTGGAACTGGGAAGCACATGCCATCCTGCAAAAATGTCTCAGGCGGGAAGCGCGGAGGAGGGGAAGCAATAATTGGGATACATTGGTCATCGATCGAGTATGTCGCAGGTGGGCAGTGTTAAGAAGGGGGCTAATGTATTTCGCCATATCGAACGTATACCTTGGCTAACTTGGCAGGCCTTTCCCATATAAGACCACTCACATCACGACTTTTTTGTCTTTGGTGTCCTGATCAGTTACTCTCAATGACCGTCCCCGAAAATATATGCACGAACTTACTGCGTCGATATACTCAACACCAAAGCAAAGTCCGGGTTCTTGAATATATCTTCGTTGACTTCCATAATCGTAAACTGTTGCTCCTCTTGACATAGTGGTGGGAAGGAGTCTCGATTTCCTCAACCTGGACAAAATAAGCCCTGCATAAAATGTCAAGTACTTACATTCTAAAGAGACAAATCAGATCACATGGTACCTACTTGATTGGAGTTTGACACGCTCCGAGCGGTAGATTCAATAGGCTGTAACATTGAGATGAAGGACAAGCGCTCCGGTTAGTGAATCAAAACAAATTTGGGGCTCTTTCCTTCATTGCCACGGCCCACGACCGAGCGCTTTCCACATCAGCTCATGACACTCAGGTGATAGAAGAATCAGGGAAGTCCTGTCTATAAGGGCATACATCCCCGAAGATCAGACAGCGTCTGCATCATAACGGCCATGATGTTTGACTGTACTAAGCTCTGAGCGCGTGATACCAATCCAGCCTCACCTGAGGCGCTCAAGCAAAAATACCAAGGTCAGGGTCACAACAGGTTTTGCCTATTCGGTCAACATGCAAAGAATGCAAGAGACAGCGTTAGTCAAGTACTGATTATCGTTACCGTATTGCAGTAAGAGTCAGGCCTCAGGCTCTCAAGACTTGGTGTAGTCCATGTATGTCCCTGTACTGCGCATCAGGAGTCGAGATTGAGGGCGGACACTTTTGGAAAATGGCGTTTCTTCTATTCAGTCTGTCTACAGGAGGCTAAACAGAACGTGATATCGCTAACAGCGGAAGAAATATCGTTAAGTATGAGTACCTGCTCGTTCAACGCATTGTCCAAGCAACTAGTTCGCGAAGGGGTCATCTTGACAATGTGGAAGGTATGTATCGTGAGCAAAGGGATATCAACGAAGGAATGCGTGGTAGATGGCATTAGTGAAGCTGAGATCTTGAGGTATGTAGATGATAGATAGGATGAAATGCTCAAATGAGGTCATAAATGGTCGTCTGCGTGCATGACAGCGTCAGTTTGATGTTGGACAGAACGGAAAACACGTACGTACGTATACATGGTCGTGGAATCGATACAACTCGTCAGTGAAATTAGTGACCAGAGGCCTTGGGGAAAGGATAATTATCGAATTAGGCGGGTGTAGAACGTAATTCCAGCGTTGTACACTGAAGGTACGCAGTTAAATTATGGAAATCATGACGATCCACGTCTGCTTTCACCTTTTACAGAAAAATGAAAATGGTTTGAGGGCGATGACGGATGCTATGGTCGTTTATTTCCAGAATACCAAGAAAGATGTACGCTGCCGACACCCGCAATGTAGACTTTGGCACGCAGACGACACACCTGGCAAGGAGAACTGGGTTAGCTCCTCCGACAGTAGGAACGACTGTGGAAGCTATTTACAGTATCTGCAACTTCAGCCTTGTGGAAGTTCACATGGAGATCGCCATTAGGCATCCTCGTGATTTGATCCACTTCGCCAAATGACTAAAGATAAGGCAGGAGTCAGTAACGAGAAACCGAAGTCAAGGATGTGAGTCAGACCTGGCACCACTTTTGAACGGCCTCAAGACGTTTAACGTCATTCGGTGCGATGCCACCGATGACTAACTTCTTCTTCGTGCTTCGTGACTGGCTAGCGATCGAAGATAAAGAAACTCTGGGGGCGTGGCTTTTGCCGGTGTACACGATGCGCGGTCGCGTAACGTCTGGCGCTTCCACGAATATATTTGGAAGGGCACTATTCAGGGCCCTCGACTTTGGCGAGAAGGGTAGCCGAATTGTACTCGACTTCCGCGCCAAGGAGCTTGGAAAGCCTGGCGGCTGAGAGTGCTGCGGTTCAGATGCTGGTAACGAGAATGACGCCGGGAATGAGGAACTTGTTTCAGTGGTGAAAAGCGACAGTGAAGAGGTCACAGCCTTGTGAGAACGCGACCTCAAAGATCCAAAGAAATGTGACTTCTGAGGCGTCGAAGGGGGTACAAGCGATGTTCCATCCTCATATATCAGATTGGTAGATGGAGCTGCGTACGAGGAACTTGTGGTAGTTGAGGACATGCTGGGGCGGGAAGAACTACCTGGGGAGTCACGGGTACTGGAGCGTGCATCGCCATCAGAGAGGGACACGAAATGCCCCAATACACTCGGTCGCCACCGCCACGATGAAGGGCTTGAACGTGTACAACGTTCCTCCGATCGAGCTTCGGTTACAAGGTGTGACGTGTGAAGGCTGGAAGAGCGACTGTGGTCATGAGGATTGCTCGCCTCCGAGTTAGAAGTGGCACGGGAGGAGCGTTGAAACATTGACAGGCGTGACGGACTGGGAGATGCTGATGATGCAGCCGGTGAAGGAGATCTAACTGATAGACGAAATTGATGTCGAGATGGAGGGGTATTGAGCCATATGGTCGATTGATGACATGTACCAGCACTATCTGCAAGTGCTGATTGGCCATGCGATCCCTTTGACGTATGAGATGACCTATCTAACACGTGTCATAGATGACGCACCTCTAATTCCACGGGCTCCTCAGGGGGATTATATTCTTGCATGTCGCCGTCATCAACTACGACATAATCGTGCATGCTAGTAGCATCATCCATGCTTCTACGAACAGTTGCCAGACTGAGGTGAGGATACGCCAAGTAAGGATTACACTCAGTTCCAACGTTTTCCGCATCAGTAGAATTCTCGGTGCCATCTGGTCGCTGAACGGTGGAGGAGCCAACCCGTAACTCCTCCAACCATTTTGACAAGCGACTTGAACGGCGACGAAGCGTCCGAGTGTGGTTTTGAGTCGTAAAGATATCATCATCCCCAGCATGGGCGCGAACGGACGCGCTTATCCTGCGGACGGTCATGCCTGATGATTGTGAATCGGGTCTCTTCTCGGAGGGACCACCTGGAGGGGAAAAGAGCATGGGGATAACTTAAATATCAACAAGGGGGAACGCGTCGTGTTATATGTTGCAAAAATTACATACTTGAGTCGGTAAGCGGTCCCGGTCGTGCGGGCTGGGCGATATCATGAGCTGAACTTGAAGCGGATGTGAGTAAGGGAGCGGGTGTCGATACGGAGCCGAAAGACGGTTGACAATCATGCATTGAGCTTAGACCGTAGATACAATGAATCAGGTGGCCGCCGGAGGTGAAAAAGATAGAGATCGTTAGGATGAGCAAGTTAGAGGTAAAAATTTAAGGAGGCCTCGAGAATGAATCTGTGAAGTCGGAGGACGATGGATGGGGTATCAGCTGATGACTGGACTCATGGAACAAAAAGCAAGGAATAAAACGCGAGGCCAAAATGCCAAAACTTGAACACACTCACATTCATATCCGGCTTGTTGAAGGAACGTGGCAAAATTTACGAGAGTCATCTACCGAACCCAGACTCCGAAGTTTCGTGGAATCTAAAGTATGTAGTCCAAAAAACATACCGAAATTGATGGATTTGCAGGGCTGATCTTCGACATTCGCATGTAGGAGAGGTGAGCCCTCACGGCTGGTTATAGCCAGGTCATGGCTGTGTCGGACCCTTGGTATCACTTCAAGATCGAAATTCGAGTCATACGATGACGGAGGTTCTGATTCTGACGATATCATATGACTGGTAGTACGTACTACTGTATTTTACCTTTTCGCTTTAACTTGAAATGAACCGAGCAGGATCGCAACAAGCTTTTTATTATAGTGTATCCATTTAGATATAGTTGCGGAGCTCGGGAGATCGAAAGAGCCAATTGATTTGCTGGTGCAGCACGAGTTAAAATAGCCTGTGGTCTAACCCGTCGTGTGAAGGACTTCAACATCATGTGGTCTGCCTCCCTACATCAGGATACTTAGAAGGTATGCTGGTATGGTTCGATAAGTATGCTTCGCTGTTGACGCTTCTCTGATCAGACACTTATCTGAATAGATTCGAACGCTTCCTCCGAGCTGAAAGCCGTGTCAGTACGCGCAAGAGGGACACATTCTAAGGATACATCATCAACGGTATATGTGTTGATTTACGATTGGGTGTGTACCTGCATAGGATGTGTAAGAAGCAGCAGATATGGTTTAATGACGTACCCTTGAGACTACTTAAGCAGAGCTGCTCGTTGACGCATGTTCTACCAAGGGCAGCGCCGATATGAGGTTCTCCACAACGGCACTCAGAATTTTCGCAGAAGACGTCTTCTGATACCGTTGTAAAACCCCAAATGAACGAACTTCGCTATCTTCATCGTGTTGGCCGTCAGCAGCGCTTAGATCTGTGGACTCGGCAGCATCCAACAATGTGACCAGCTCCGTGTCGATAGGCATACTACCAAGGAACGGCACCCCTTCTCTTCTCGCCATTTCTGCACCTCCACCTGTAGAGAATACATTGCTAACATCTCCACAGCAAGGGCACACATATCCACTCATGTTCTCGATAAGTCCAAGGACAGGAAGTGTGACAGCCCGAGTAAACGATAGGCATTTCATAGCATCAAGTAGTGCAACAGCCTGTGGCGTTGTGACAATGACGGCAGACAGCCGTGAATGTACCGGTGCAAGATGTTCGATTAGTGACAGGTGCTCATCAGATGTTCCTACACATTGACTCATCAGTTCGAGATGCCCTCGTCACACCGTAGGATATCTAACCTGGAGGGGTGTCCACGACAAGGTAATCAAGCTCTCCCCACCTGACATCGCTCAGAAATTGCCTAATCATAGCGTTCTTCTTTGGCCCTCTCCAGACTACTGAATCCCCCTTCTTCTTCAATAAAAATCCAACGCTCATACACGCAAGTCTGGGTTCACCATCCCCGAGCGCATCTGCATACACAGGTACCCATCCATCGCTGCTCTGGTGCACACCATGTCCATCCAGGCCAAGCATGCGAGGTATCGACGGGCCGGTAAGATCGACATCGAGAACCCCGACCCGAGCAGTGGGAGAAGATGCATGGAGGCTGAGCGCAAGCTGGGCGGACACGGAGGATTTTCCGACACCGCCTTTTCCCGAGCACACTATGATAATATGTTTGACTGTCTTTAGTCGTCGTGATACAGGAGTTTCTTGAACAGCCATGATGAACAAACCGGTAAGAAGGTGTAAGTCTGTAAGATCTTTCCGTGGACCCGTGCCATACTTACGTGATTATATAAACATGATGACAATATTGTGGCAATCAACATTCTATTTTAACTTTGCTCCATAATGTTAGGCAACTTGAGTCTGGCCGGCCAGGCGGATGCCGCTAAAAAGCTTGTTAACCAACTTCTGCATTCACAATGGTGGACAAACCTGTGGTTTTTGGGCTCCCTCTTGACGTGCTTTTCGAGGTATGCATGTGCTCGAGTCGGCTACCGGTGTTCTCGGCTTGTTCACCTCTTGTCCTGCTAGATTTTCTGGTATCTTCACCCACTGGACCTTGTATATCTCACTCGGGTATCCAAACACTTTCGTTTGTTTCTGCTTAGTCGTCGCAAAGCAAAGTCAATATGGACAGGAGCCTTGAAACGCATCGACCGGCTACCTCAGTGCCCATCGTACCTTTCTGAACCCGCATATGCAAACCTGCTGTTCTGGCCGTACTGTCATGCATGTCCAGTCCTTTCTCAATAAATGTCCGGATCACTTATGTCACTCCCAGTGGTGTTACTCGTCGTGCGATGTAATTCAATGGGAGTTGCGCATCCGTTGCTGTAACGGTTGCACAGATGACATGTAGGCATTTGTAAAGTTCGCGTTATTCATGCTTCTCATGATTTATAGGCTCATCTGTCGAGGCGGGCTTCCTTTGTTTGTTGATCAGTTGAACTGCCTCGATGCCGGCCAGCTCATACCCATGTCAGTCATAAGTTCTGCTGGGCCTTGCGTTAGGCACACAGATAATACCTACAGAAAGCCGCTCACTGTGGCTTCGCACGCCGATGTCAACAAACTCAACATGCAGTACACATTTGTGAAGGATAGCCTATTTTTGAACGACCTAATAATCCATCGCGAGAAAGTCACGCAGGAAATCTACCAGGTATCGTATGATATTCCTGGTAGTCTTCCCAATGCGTTATTGACGCGGTCTTAGCACGTAGCTTTGTGTCGCATCTGGGAGGCTGAAGTAGCTGACCAGCGTCGCAAAGAGCTGGTAGACCAGAGGAAAAGAGAGTATGTTATCTTGACTAAAGGTATATGTCCAAAACTTACTTGTTTTCAGTGTCGTTGAAAAACTCGAGAGCCTCGGATTGGGAGATGAGCTTGAATCGCTGCGGTCGGACGCCTCGGCATTAAAAGAATTTGACAACCTTGTCGTCAGACAAGACCAAGAGTTGACTGATTCTTGTACGTGTATAACGTACCCTTTATCTCTGTACGAAGCCTCACACATCTCCAAAGCATGTCAGGTTTCTCTACTGAGGCTTCAGAATTTTCTGGAAATCAAAAGAGCTCGAAGGCTTACTGTCCTCCTCCAAGACTGCTTCAAAAATCTTGCCGTTGTTGTAAGCGATATGACGAAGACATTCAAAAACAATAAGAACAATAACTTGAAGGTCTTTCCTCAAGCGATAGACATCTGTCTACTCTCGGAAGTTCGATGCATGATAGATGTCCCTGAGGTTTTGTTGGCGGAAGCTTTTGTAGACGCACTTACCCTTCGTCTACCCCAATTGTTGTTAGCCTGGAACAGCCATGTCACTCGGCAACTTGCAGATCTAGTTCGCGCGCAGCTGGGCGGCATCGATAATGATGTCGATCCTCTCAAACTCGCCGCTTTGGTATTCCGCTGCTCCAATTGTCGATCGCATGTCACTTATCCATCAGCGCTCGCCCACTCTTGCCTACGCGCTAAGACACTTGACAAACCGTGGGTCCAACTTCCAATGGAAACAACGGCGCTCGGTAGAAGGATGTCACTAGTAGAAGTTTACGAGAAAGCAGCAATCGAAGCCTTCGAGATGTACCCATGGAATTGCACTGTTCTGGAAGCAGGCGGATGCTTCAAGCGAATACATAATCTCTCCCAAGTTCTCGGACGAGACCCGAATTCGACTACGGTGGATGATATGGAATCTTGTCCAATTCGAGTAACCTGTAAGAGTTGTTCTGGAAGTCGGAATCGAATGATTCTGACTTACCGCACCGCCGTATGTATATTTATTAATCTGCTTGTGGGTCCATGCTCACTTCTATCTATTTGCAGCTCATTCACTTGGTACGAAACCACAGCGATAGCAAGGCCGATGCCGTGTGGGGTGTTGTTGTATGATCTTCAAGTTGTGCGGATGGACCTGCTCGAGATTGTATGTTCATATACCCGATACCCTTTCATGCAGCGTATTACTGGTTTTCGGTGTAAAACCTCAAGCAAGAAGCCTTGTCTTGTGATTGTTCATATCGTCTGTGAATCCCTACTGTTGATACCACAACGCTCTGCAACGTTTGTTAACTTCTTGCTGTATGCGATTAACACTCGTATCTCCACCTAAGAGGACTGGCTGACCATGGCAGGCATCCCAGTTGCAGTATCCCGAACTTGCGTACAATGTATTCTTTCTCAAGTTCTCCTTGCACAATATCTGTGAGCACTCGCTCTGGCTTATGATCGGGCATGCTGGTGCTATCCAGGCAAACATAGTGGCCCCAAGAAGAAGAATTCGCTTTGAGTCAGTCACCTCCGGGTTTATACGGGTTTACCAGACACCATTTGAATTGCTCTAGATCATTTTCCAATTGTTCCAAGCGCTACTTTAATAAGAGTTCATGGGAAGATATAGAAGCGATCGTAAGCGAGTAGTGAAGCATGAATGTGTATAAGCACTCGACATGTTCGCAACGATGTTTTATAGTTTTCCTAGTATGAGCCGCCACAACGATACCTTGTTCCATTCTGCCGCATTTTCTGGTTGGCCTTGGTTCTCCTGTTGCTCGACGGCCCAGTCGTAGACAGTCTTGATTTGAGGATAGGCTTCACGGCATAAATTTAGTTGTGATTCAAAATGCTCATGTTGCCCAGTTGTCCGTGCCGTGTGGATGTTTTCAAAATGTTGAACCCTGAATGACATTCAAGCTGACGTCAAAAGGGAAACAGCTGCAAACTCACAATTCTTGTGTTGATTTATTCAACGCTAAAAGGATAGCAGCTAAAAATCCAGGAATGGAGGGAAGGTTTCGACCTGTTGCGCGCTTGTAGCACGCATGTTGCTCAGACATGGTGAGTACATCCCCAATAACCACGAGTATCTGGTGTTTGTATTTCTCGGGGTTCTTCCAAGGAACTGTCAGTCGCTGTTAATGCTTTTCCTGTCTAAAATGCTTTACCTTGAACACGGCAGCGGCAACATGACCTATATCTTTCGCGTCCTAGGTGGGGTTTAGAGCAGGATATAAACATATACAGGATGAACTCACAATCACCCCAACTTTGGTGTCCTCTTTGAGTCCACGAGTCAACACACCCACGGCAATAGAACCAATGAAGTCGTCGTAGTTATCTAGGAAGAAGCCTGGGCGCAATATCCTGAAACATAAAAGTCAGTTACGTCTAGTTTCAAATTTGAGAGGCTTACGTCCATGGGAGTCCCCTCTCACCGAGGGCCTGGACATGCCGCTCTGCAAGTACTTTGGCACGACCCGACAGTTTCTCCGTCTCATCGCTCTGTTCGCCACCACGTTCGGCGCTCGAGTAAATGTATACTGACACCCCATATTCGAGCGCTAGATCCGCCATGAACTGTTGTATTCCAGTATAAATATGCTTGTGCAATAAAATGTTTAAAATGACTGCACCTTTCCCTGTCGCTCCTCCCCGTCTGCGTTCGCACCAAGCCCGGGGTACGCCAGAACGCAGAAGACACCCCAGATTCCACCTGAACCTTTTGCATCTTCGTAGACTTTCCGTATTGACTCTGGCGAGTCGATGTCTCCCTCCACCACTTGTACGTGTCTTTCCTGGGCTAAGCGCTGTGCGGTCGAACTGGAAGCCGACCTAGTGAGAGCCAGCACTCGAAATGGTATGTCATCCGACTCCGAGGTGGGTTGAAGAGACTTGATGAGAGCTCGACCTTGTTTGCCTGTAGCACCTGCCACTAGGATGAGCTTTGACATTGTGCTGGATCGTCAATCAAGTTGGGTATCATATATGTATATCATTAACCTTGAGACCCAGGCTTGCGTGTGTATGATGATCTTATGTCACTCTGATGTAATGTCAAGTTCAACTTATATTTGGCCGTGATGCGCATCTGCCATCAGTGCACGTGAACACCGTGTTTGTTCTGGATTTTTCAGTCTTCGAATTGAAAGCTTCCACCAATCTGACGGTACTCCCCTTCACTACTATCAATGATCAGGTCCTTATTCCCAACATCAAACTGACACCACAAAGGAGTTTGCCAGACAACTGATAACTTAGTCAACCCGTTGATTAGCATCGCCTCAGACCTGGCACCAGGCTGTGTTTTGTTTCCCCTGGACAGCCCTTTACGAATGAAGATCATCGTTCCTTCTATTAGGCTGCACTGGAAAGACGGACGGACCGGACCCGCTACGGCGCGACGGTGCTAAGATCTGCTTGACTCCTCCTTTACATTTACCTAGGGCAATGTCAATGCGGTCCAACTCAGTCACGTTCATAGAGCTGTAACCGACGTGATCGGGGAAAGGAGCACCTACACTGTTGCATACATTCGGAGTAAGTTGAACTCCTAGATCATCTCTGAATGTGGCCACTGTAACACACAGGATATAGGCGACTGCAAGGAAAGCGAGAGAAGTTAGACGTAACTATTGCTTTATCAACAACAGACAAAATGATGTAATCTGATCTCATTCACTCATTTATGTTCCGCTGCAGAAATGTCAGCTCCTCGCTTCCTCAGTATTCACGAGGTCACACTATATGCTGCAGGACTCGAGATACATGCTGACCGCCATGTCCTCTAATGGCTGAACGGCACGAAAGACGATGGACTAGTGGTTCAAATCGTGCACCTGATGGATCAAGCTAGCAACTACAACTGCTACGCGCCTGTTGTGATGCGCAAAGATACAACCATCCGAAACCAGGCCCTGTGGGAACGTTTTATCGTGCACAGAGAGCCCAGGTCATTCTCCTTGCCAATCAGATCAAATTTCAGAAGACCTCGATCACCAACAACTGTACAGGTTTGGTTACAAGAGTTACTGTGCCATGGTTGATGAGCAGCTCATCACTCAGGCGAAGTTTGATGAAATCATTGAAGCGGACTCTCTCTGGATGCGTCGACCAGTGCAATGATCTCAAGGAGTTGGTTAGAGTACTCACTCATCCCAGCTGCTCATGGTTCCGTGGACCAGCTTCTTACGAACTAGTAGCGTGATGTTGAATCGGGTCTTGTGGCTGATGGTGGTTTTGAGCTGAGAACTACCACTACTAGCAAAGAAGACGGCGAACACTGTCACTGGGCGTCGAACAGGAAATAATGTGCTCTTTGGTATTTACACATGTTGTAAGCAAATGGCAATTGATCATAGCATATTGATATTTTGTTGAAGTAATTGCTCTACGTTGTTGAATAAGAAGGAAAGCATGCAGGCACGCGTAAACGGCACGATCATTAGGGATCAAACAATAAGCTCTTTATACAGCGTCATCACTTGTATGGCCCTTGCCACTGATCATCGACATCTCTATATGACTGGATAGTGACCCAAATGATGAAGGTTGGGTGAATGTAGGGCTCAGACTGGTCCCGTGGCTCAGGCCCGAACCATCTTCCACGGATGGGTCAGAATAGAAATTACGCGTGCCAAGCACGAGTCGGCTCCCAAGGATGATCGTAGTTGCAATAAGCACTGAATTTGTGATCTCCAGGTAAATTGACTAAATGGAACAGCTTAAATGACCTGAAGGGTGAATCGTCAAGAACCACATTACCGGAAGACCAAGATACAACGTCGTGGCGATGCCACATCCGGCCATTTCACTATTAAGCATAAGAGAGTTGAGTGAACAACGAAAAAAATGACATGATAACGCTTACACGAAGAAGTAGATCGTGTTGTACTTGACCAGTGTTGCCATTGTGTTGTGAAGTCTCTTCCCAGCAATTGTACGGGTGTTCTTCATATGCTTGAGCACAACGAATATGGCAAGGACGAAAAGTAGAAGCTCGAAACAAAAGATAGGCACGTAGATGGCCGTGAAGCTTCTATTGATAGTCGACGTTGCGCACATGTTGAGAAGCCCGGGTATGGCTTCATTGGTGTATGTTAAGGAGTGATCGAAGTTTAGCGCCAGGACCGTGCAAATGGCTGCAATTTCGAGCACAAAGAAGACTCCCGTGAACGCCAGAATTTTATTGGACTTGCGATACATAGCGTAAATGCGCAGTTGCATGATCGCTAGTGATTCCATCAGTACTTTTCTGTGGATATGGACGAAGCGGTGTACTTTGTGTGGCCCATACTGGCACAAAAGGCCCGTAGGATTGGAAGTGAAATAGAATACGGCCTGAATATAATATCAGCTTTGAAAGGAGTGTCTGCAGAAGACTACGCACAACTAACGCAAATAGTGTCGTTGATTAGCAAGTGGATATAGATCGGACATGCAAGTTGGTTCGCGTGGACTTACGTCTAATAGGAACTTGTTAGTGTCATATGTTGTAGGACAGTATCAATTGTCTTACATTGACTGAAAATGTCGAGCCCATAAATACTATCGTACGATCGTCAGTAACACCAACCAAGACCGAAAAGATGAGGCCGAACATATTGCACTAATTCTGGAAGAAAGATCATGATGAATATGTATTTTTTCCACATAACATCTCGCTTACATTGAGATAGCATCCCCCAAGTAGCGGGTCTATTGGCAGGAGTTACAGCATCAAACGCCTGGTCAATCAGCGAGTTATAGTATCACTGACCGTAAAGTAGAGGTATGACACAAGAGACTTTGATCTGTTCTGAAGGACCATGTTCACTGAGGCGTGGCTTCCACAAGCCACCGAGAAGACATACCCAAATCAAGTCCACCTATTCGTAGATATGTGAATTAACTATTCTCAGTTGAGGAGCAATTAAAATTACTTCTTGCTGACAACAGAGCACTAAGTCGAGGTGTATCAGATAGAGCACTTTCAGGTATTGCGAGAGAAATTCACCATGATCGTACAAGACAACGAATGTTGCTGCCACTAGGAATGAAGTTTAGCACCCGGGTGTCGACTCGCGCGACCCAAAAACTAGTGCTCACATTGGAACATCCTCCCCATCTGAAGGATGCGTACATCGTCGAACAGAATGGATAGCTCAGCTTCCATGTTGGTCTACCCTCGGAACTTTAGTGATCATCACAACACCACCAATATATACGTTCTATACTCACCTATAAAACTATCTCAGGTTGGGGGATCGCGTCGTCAGCGCTATGAAAGCGGCCCTGAAATTCATCCATGCACCGTTATATACCTATCCCCCATCTACCGTGGAACCAATCCGGGATCCAGACGCACTAGCATGCTTAAAGGACAGCGGAAATCGGACCTTCCCTACATCAACACTCGTCACGATCGAAGCTGATCATTGGTCTACAATCTGGGCAACGGTGATTATCGGATGTTGTCTGATTATCTTGCACAGGTATTGATGACAGAATTGCAAACCAGTCCCCCCTCGGGAAATGAAAAAGCGCTGCCTCACTGATTTAAGTTGCCAGGTAATCAGAACACAAGGTGAGCTTCGTGATGTTTATCACATCACTGATCTACACTGAAGTGGATATCTGGCGATACACCATCTGATTGCAGCAGAGCGTAGAGCAAGTGTAGAGTTTTGCAAATTTGATACCAATGATCCGAGACCGGCGGGGAAATCACGGTCAACCGATGAGAGCGAACGAGCGGGAAGGTTCCTGAGAGCCTGTGCAATGACTTGGATGGGATTCGTATGGGGATAGGAGGGGGTCCGAATACGGATGCAGATTCAATGAATAATCTGTTCCACATGCGCGCTAAGCTAGTCAAGATAAGTACTAATGAGTGTGCCTATGGTAGGGCCACCTACCGTCTTGGTGTCACAATGTTATTCAACACCCGACAAGATACATATCTTGTGCATATCAGAGTCGCCTCATGACTATGATACCGTAGCCCAGCATAGCACAAGGTCCAGGACAGAAACGACAGATCAAGTGGTAAATTACATGCGCGCAGAATTACAGCAAAGGACCGTGACTAAAAGGATGTTGCCATTGTTCAAAAGGAATGACGCCCAAGAAGAGATCAACTCTTGACTAAAGTACATTCTACGGGGTATTCAAGCAATATCTCAGTGCCCAAACAATCGGAAGATGAGATAGAGTAGGGATCCCATGAATCGGACTGCTGATAGGGCAGCACTGTGTTGGGGTTAGCAAGGATGACTCCGTATCAATGAAGGATACTTACAGCGCGATAAACAGGAAGCTCAAATAAGGGTTGAAATTCGAGCCCTGGGATGTCGCAAAGTGAGTGTTCACCCAAGTCAAGAATGCTTGCGAAGTGAACACAACAATCATCAAGCTATCAATTAAAAGTCTATATCAACGAAAACTCAAACAAAACAATGTACGCGGATCGACTTACGTGTTCGTCCCCACCCACGCAAGTACAACGTTAGTACGACTGTTCCGGTCGTGGTCGGCTTGCTTTGTAGCAGCATCACGGTGAGATTTCTCTTCAGGAGCTTTGATCTTGAGGGCTGAGCGGGATGCTGCCCACATGCGGTCGACGTCTTCGCGGGCAGTGGGGATCTCGACTTCCATCATGTACTTGCCATTCTCGCCTTTGACCTTCTTAGCTCCGCCAAGATCCTTCGCAGAGCCATTGTCTCCCTTGGTTCCCCTGAACATATCGTCAGGTTGGAGGTAAGGAATTAGTGGAATCACTCTTACCAAGTAACATCGTGCAAGTTACACATGGCATACATCACTGTCGACCAAGAAGATCAATTTAATCTCCATATACAATAGAAAACGCCCATACTCAAGATATTAACATCTACGATGATAACATTAGCGTTGCGATTACCAAGATAAATGACACAGATACTCACAACTCGGAAGCAGGAACATGTACTGGATGAACGAAGTGAACATGTGCCATGGCTCCAAGTGCATGAACGACGAGAAGAAGTACAAGCCATACGTAGCAGCGAGCGAGATGACGATCTCCCGAAGGGCTTGGTTCGTAGCAACGAGCCTAGTCGGAAACAATAAACCACCAGACCAAACATACTGACCACTAAAATACTCACTGAGGGAAGTCCTTCCATCCAGCGACGGAATGAGGTACAGCAAGGTACACCGTCCATCCGGCGCACCAGAGTGTGATAATATTACAGATGCCGAAAAGTACCATGCAGAGCGCATAAATCCATTTGGAACCCTAGCAAGAATGGAGTTAACCTTTGCAAATTGTCTGTCATGGGTCGAAGTACATACCTGTGGCCGGTTTCCTAGCGAACAGACGGTGACGACGAACAAAAGGCCGATGTAAAGCTGAATGACACTTTAGACGTTTGCCCGTTTATAAAGGATTTGTTCATTACTTTCAGGAAAATCTGGAAAACATCTTGTCCTGCTCCTTGGCTCAGGAAGTTGAAAGCACCATCTGTGGACGTAGTTGCCGATGAAACCAACTACGACGACTTATATCAGACTCATCGATGTATAAGGGTGAGGGACTACTGACAAAGTAGAAAGCCAGGTAAAAGTTCGCAAGTGACGTCCACGTGAATATCAGTTGGACTGCATTGTAAATGAACTCGATCTACATGTATTCTTATTAGTCATGCGGTATGATGAATCTCCGTGCGTACGCACCTGGAGTACAAGCATACGAATTGGATTTTGCCCAGACGTCCAGATCCTGTAAAAGAATATCGTCGAATGGAAGGAAGCGAACAGAGACCCGTTCAGCCATCGGCGACGCTGAGAAATGAATTCGGGAACCTTGGAAAATATGTAAAAAAACACATCACCAAAAACTAATCTTTACTCACAGTTGTGGGGACATCAGTAGCAGCCTTGGCACTCTTGACGTATCTGAGGCTATCGAGCACGTTGAGGGAACCGTGCAGCGTGAAAGGTGATATTTAACCTACATCCAGCTTTCCCGTTTCTTGGTGACAATTTCAAAGCACAGAATACGATCCTCGGCCAAGTACATGTTTCGCTCTGCAACAACCGTTGGTGGGACAAGAAATCGAAGGAAGCATATCTCATACCAAAGAGTCCAGCACCGTCAGCACCTCCGCCATGCATAGCCTCTCCCTTGAAATACGAGGCAAGGGGACCCTTGCCATCAGGACCGTTCAGGAGGGCCTTGTATCTGTAGGCGCTAAATGCACCAGGAAGCACGCTAATGTAACCGAACACACTCTTTTGGTAGATTAGGATGTTGATCGTATAGCCAATAACAATCCGCCTACCTCGAGAGGTTTATCGAGGATATTAGACATTTTATACTGCCATGCCATGTCAAAATAGATGGGTGAAACCAGAGCTGCAACAACATTACCTCAAAGTTCTGAGAAGCAGCTAGAGGACTCGTCAGGAGCAGTGAGCAAGCTCTGCCGGTGTCGACACAGATCCTTGACAGAAGAATTCAATAAAACGAAGCACAGGACGATGAATTTGACGCACTCTCCACACGCTCCTCCAACATTAGAGTGTTTATCGAAGCCTAGAAAGTGTCATCAGGTAAAATATAGAACGAACGATATCCACTCACATTTCCACAACTCGTAGATCGACGTGCTGGTGGGCTTGGTACCAACGTCCAGGAGAACACAGACTATGTATGGAGTCAGTGTTAAAAATCCCTCATGGGAGAGTGCGCCTACCATTCGGGTTGATCAATGGACCAAAAGCATTAAAGAACCAGCGGTGGCTGTTAAGCTTCTTCTTGTTCTGCTCTTTCAAGCAGAAGATAATCTGAACTGGGCAGTGCCCGGTAGACACCTCCCCAGTCTCCGTTACGACCACGTTTGAAGTATATCTGCAGGTCATGAATTTAACCAAGATTTACCTCACCACTCGATCTACTCACTCGAAGATGTGAGCGGTCACGTCCTTTCCTCCCACCGAATCCTTAGCGATACCCTCTTGATAACAACCCATCTATGGACGGATGATAAGCAACTAATTCAACCAAAAGCGAGTAAGCTCACAAGAGTGAGCACTTGAAGCGTTCGCTTGTTGACTTTGCTGCGTCCATCTGAGACGACACATACAACAACCTTCTTCCAGCCCTCGGGGCCCCATGTTCTCGATCTCGTCCGACCACAAAGGTGGGCAATGTTCTTGATAACGCTGAAAATAGATCAGGCACATATCCCGACGTCCGCGGACGGAACTTACGCATTCATAGTCTTCACAAAAAGTACTTCATCTTCATTGTACATGGTCATAACTATGAACAGCTCAGTGTGGCGGCCATAGAGATAGGGCCTGAGAGAGTATTTCCTGCGCATAAATTCGTCGGGGTCGCATGTGGCGGCAGTGTATCGCATTGTGGTCATTTCCTCAGCGCTGCTCATGCCCTTTGGCACAATGTGCGTGGGGACTGCGACATCGAGGACCAAATTACCATTCTGAAGTTCGACATGCCGGACAGAGCGACGTTTCATGAGTTTCTCCTTGGCTACAGAGTATCCTGTGCTCATTTCTCTGAGTGGGCCAGGGCGTACGGGAACGGGAGGGTAGTCTGGTTGGTATGCATGGTACGGCATTGAGGGAACGGGGGGAGAGTAGACCTGACTCATCTCGTACTGGGGATTGAGGTGCACCTGAGAACCATGAAATTGGCTACTCTGGACGGATTTGGGAGACCCTGGTCTGTCGTCCCATTGGTTGTCATGGGCAGGGTATTGTTGGTTATGGATCGTAGGCGCTGGAGGGGGAAAACCTGGGTGAATTGGCGCACTCTGTGCAGAATCATAGTAGGGATCTTGCTGGCGGTATGCCATGTTTTACTATAATCTTTTGCGGACAAGAAGAGGCGATAGTCTATGGTTGCTATACAAATTCGATTGCTAGTCGCACAAAACGAGTGTTGCGATTGAAAGAGAGAGATTTAGAGAGTAAAATGAATGACTGGAGGATCCTAGGCGGAAGATAGGGACTTTGTCGAAAAGTACTGTCGATGCGGTTGAGGAGAAAGATGGCGCTGGGAGTCTCAGCCGTGGACCACTCGACAATCAAAATTGATATGGCAGCCATAAAAGGAAGCCATTCCGAGATCAAAGTGCAACAAGATCATTTACCCTAGTGATATTACAC